TTATTTCCCTAATTATACTGCTCCTCCATCAACACCTCTTATATTTTTTTCAATATGATAGGGTTAAAATATTTAGGTTGAATGAACTAGACATGGGCTTGATAGCAGCGTCTGGGTTACAATTAAAAACTAGCCCAAAAGAGAATTACCAACAAGTCCATTATGAGACGGATAGGAACAGTTCTGTTATCGGGTCAAACCCAATTAAAGTTGCACTGAGTTGCTTCCATGGTAAGCAAGAAGCAAGGACCAGACAAACTAACAAAACAAATAGTCACATTGTAAAAGGCAATCCCAAATAAAACAGGCTTGTGATTTTTAACGGTTGAGATTTTGATACAAGTAAATATTCCAAATAACTTCCTAAGAAAGGAATAAACAGTAATACGAATACTAAAAGGAAACGGCTTTTCTAAATTCGATAAAAAGGAAAAAAAAAATAAAAATAAAAATAAAACATGAAACACTAGCTACTGATACGGGCTCTTAGTCAAACTTCTAAAACCTCACTCAAGTGGTCGCAACTACCATGACCGGCGGTGGCGGTGACGCGCAGCCACCTATACCTTCAAGTAACGGCGGCGAGTTTCTTCTCTCGTTACTTCAAAAATCCCAACAGCAACAGCAACAGCAACCACAAACACAATCTAATGTTCATCAATTACCCTCTTCACCCATTCCAATTACTCCTCCACAGCAACCGTATTTGCAGTTGCCTAACGATCCGGCCGTTGCGGCTGTGGGTCCTTCTATAAATTTTCCTGTACAGTGGCCATCCAACGGATTCGATCTTCCTCCACCATGGTCCCACACTCTCTCCCCTCCTTTTCCCCACAATTTCCTAGGGTTTCCTCAAAACCCTTGGCAATCCCCTCCGGGAAATCAGAGAATTTTGAATGAAGACTTTGGCAGATTAGGGATTTCGAACGCCAATTTTGCAATTCAAAACCTTGTTCATCAGCAGCAAAACCTTCAAGAGCAACACCAAAATATCCTATTTGGTTCTCTACAAGCCCAAATCCGATCCGAGGGTTTACCTCCCAATTTGAATTCTTCAGATAACTTGAAATATAATTTCCCAAACGGATTAGATAGGAACCGTCAATTCGAGGTGCGAAAAAGTCCTGTTCCAAATCCAAGTTTTATTCAACCTTCGGAGAATTCAGTTGGCAAACAGCATTATAGGTCAGCGCCGCCTCCAGGGTTTTTGAACAAGGCAAGAGAAGGAGGAGGAGGAAACAGTAGGAGGGGTCCTGACTTTAATGCGGATAAGGACAAGGTAAACTACAGTGTTGAAGATGGGAATGGGAGAGTGAGGAGATTGCCATCTGAACGTAGCAATGGACTGGGGCTCACTAGACAGCTTGATCATCCTGGTCCACCCTCAGGAAGTAACCTTCATTCGGTTTCGGCATCTGATATTGAAGAGTCTATGTTGGATTTGCATAGAGAGGATGGAGAAAGGCATAGGATGCAGGAGAAGGTGAGGAGGGAGACTGGTCCTGGGTATGGTCGAGGAGGTGAAGATTTGGATGATTTTGGTGAAGAACTTGTGGATTTTTTATTGCCTGACGATGAGTCTGATTACAAAAATGACCGTAACGACAAGAAACAACACCGTCGGGATAAGGTAGACATTGTATTATTTTCTACTATAGTTTTGGTTCAATGCTTCTTGCCAGACAACTACCTTTTTGAGTGATTATTTATGGAAAAATGTTCACTTTTGCATGGATTGGATAAATTGTTTAAATATGGGATTTGCTTGTCTTGTTTTGTCATCAGGAACTCAGATCAGATAATAGAGGAAAAAGGTTACTTAGTCAAAGGATGAGAAGCTTAAAATGGCAGCTTCAATGTCGCAGTGATATAGGTAGATTGAATGCTCCTTTTCTTGCAATTTACGAATCTTTAATACCACCAGAGGAAGAGAAGGCAAAGCAGAAGCAGCTGTTAACGTTATTGGAGAAATTAGTTTGCAAAGAATGGCCTGAAGCTCGGTTGTATCTTTATGGATCCTGTGCTAATTCATTTGGAGTTTCTAAGAGTGACATTGATGTTTGCCTTGCGATTGATGATTCTGATATCAACAAGTCTGAGGTGTTGTTAAAGTTGGCTGATATCTTGGAATCAGATAATCTCCAGAATGTGCAGGTAAATTGAATTACTTTTGTTCTGCCATTCTTGAAGCATGCTGTATCTTTTATAACATATTTCTATCATGGTTGGTTGGTTTGTTTACCTTTTATGGATGCATTATACTGCTGGTTTTAAATTCTAATGCAAATTTCTTTTACATAAGTTTCTTTACAGGCACTTACACGTGCAAGGGTTCCCATAGTAAAGCTCATGGATCCAGTCACTGGAATTTCTTGTGACATATGCATAAACAATCTCTTGGCTGTTGTAAATACTAAGCTTCTTCAGGATTATGCCCAAATAGATGTGCGACTGCGGCAATTGGCATTCATTGTTAAGCATTGGGCAAAAAAAAGAGGAGTTAATGAAACTTATCAAGGAACCCTGTCAAGCTATGCGTAAGTTATCTATTAAGAATATTACCAATTTTAGCAAATAAATATATATTTAATTAGATGCTAGTCATGTTTGTCATTAGACTGCTTTTTCTGATTACAACTTTTTCTGCTATATTGTAATCACAGTTGTGTAATAGTATTTATGTTATATGTTGGTGTTTTCAGTGAGCATGCATTTTTTTCATAACATTTGTTTTGTATCTGCTTTTCAGGTATGTTTTGATGTGCATTCATTTCTTACAGCAGCGTAGACCTGCTATTCTTCCGTGTTTACAGGTGTGTTTTTTTCCTTCTTTAATTGTGGTATGAAAGACAGCTTTGTCAGTTATTTTCATTTTGGTTTTGGAGCTCTATTCTTATATGTTTTGGGAATTTACTTTCCGTGATAAAGTTATTGGTTATTTGGATGTCGTGTTAGAATTCCGCACTGACACCTCACTCTCCTCCTAGTTGGGGTGGGTTGTGCCTGATTCAGGTATTTGGCGCATTAGTTGATGGTACTGATAAAAGTTCAGAGTATTTTGAACACTGGTATTGATTTTGAATGAAAAGGAATATACAAAAACAGCATGATTCAACTAAATTGTTGAATCACATTTTTTAGTTGACTCAGTGGACTATGTATCCTGTCCAGATGGAATACTTATGTTAATGAAATGTAGTCTCTGTCAAGTGAATGAAATTTCTGTCAGGAAATGACTTGTGAAAACAAAGCTTTTCAGTGCATGAGGATTGGTTTTTCTTTTTTTAATTCAGTTGTAAATCATAGCACTATTATGTATCTATTAATCATGTTGCTAATTGTGTAGTCTCTCTTTGGATTTTGTATTGATTTGATTTTTGCTTCAATATTGGTAAATTGTGTGGAGGACAGCTGACATGATACATTCTTGTCATACTTTTTGCAATTGATGCTAGTATTAGTTTTGAACATTCTTTGTGTATTTTATAATTTTGTGCTTGGTGAATTTTCTCATTAGGGAATGGAGAAAACATACTCTGTGATTGTGGATGATATCGAATGTGCTTACTTTGATCAAGTTGAAAAACTACGCGACTTTGGATCCCGTAACAGAGAAACTATTGCTCAGCTTGTGTGGTCGTTTTTCAGTTATTGGGCATATCGTCATGATTATGCAAGTTCTGTGATATCCGTACGCACAGGAAGCATAAAAAGGTAAGTTGAAATGTCATTCATCATTTTCATGATTGGTACCTCACTTACCAAACATGCTATGCACATATTTCATGTCATTACTTTCACTAAAGAAGGCATGCATGTACAACAGTATTAGCATTTTGTTTAGTATATAATTCTGGTAGTTGTGCTGTTCTTTTTGTTTCAAAATTTTCAAGGCGGAAATGATTTTAAAGTGGATAGCCAAAGTAACGTCTATATTACCTGTTGTGTCACACAATTTTCTTTTTCTCATTTACACTGGTTGATTTCTTCCGTGCAATTAGCTGATTGGTAGCTATTGTGTTTACTGTACAGCAAACAAGAAAAAGACTGGACGAGGAGGATTGGGAATGATCGTCATTTAATATGCATAGAGGATCCCTTTGAGACATCTCATGACCTTGGTCGAGTGGTGGACAAGTTCAGCATAAAAGTCCTAAGGGAGGAGTTTGAACGTGCTGCTGATATAATGCAGTATGATCCAAATCCTTGGGTGGCACTCTTTGAACCCTATGTTCCTGGTCGACTTATCTAAGGCTTGGTTGTGATTGTTAGATGTATTTATGGTTAAAGATTTTGATAAGCTTATAGGCTCTGTTCACTCATCCTTGTGTTCCTCGTTTTCATCCTGCTGTTTATATAGCATTTATGTATTTAGTGGTTCAGGCTTTTATATTTATGCGTTCAGCAGTGTAAACTGTAAAAAACTTTTGATTGATGCACCTCTTTTGAGCAATTTTAATTCGCAATTGTATGCTAATTTCAATTATTTATTTTATTTCGGGGGTTAATATTAATTTCCAAGTGGTTCGTATGTACATAATATGAATCAAAGAAGTGGTGCAGAAATGACGCTGTTAAGTGATAGTTTCAATTCAATATTAAGTGTTTTCTTGTCTCTCTCTCTCTCTCTCTCCCAGGGAAATAAGGCTCTGTATGAATTTCAAATGTTTTTTATTTTTCCAGAAGGCTCGAACATTTTATCTCCTAGATCAGGTTTTTCCAGAGTTCGGGGACATGGTCATAAAACTTAAAAGTCGATTGAAGTTAATCCACGAGTTCTCTCCGTTTCCCAGGATGCTAGTATTGCTATCCCTTGTAAAATTCTAGAAGCAGGAATACATATTAACACGAACACCCGGTAATTTCTGTAAATGTTGGTATTTAATATTTTCAGCTTTTATTTCTCTTTTAGTTTTTATTGTTTTGAATCGTGTTAGGGTAAAGGATATGTTGAGGATTTTATGTATTGGGTGAAATGTTGATGGTTTGAAATGAGGATAATTGATGTTTTCAGAAAGATGTCTGCTGCCTGTCGATATGTCAGACAAGGGCTTTGGCTTACCAAAGGCGATTATCCTCTTTGTCCCAAGGTAATCATTTCTCTTTACTCTTTGTTAATTCCTTTTCACGTTTTTATTTAAAATTTATTTTGTTAACAGAATATAAAAGTTTTTGATTCCCTTACAATCGGTTTCTTTTCACGTGAAATGCTATCTGTACTGTAAGAAGTTTGATTTTGATAGATGCGTAACCAAATGTTCAATGTTGAATTTTGATGTCGTGTATTAATGACTTAAAAAACTTTTGAATTTAAGGGAGTAAGAGCTTGCAATGTGACGATATGGAATGTAATGGCAGAAAGGAGATGCTAAATCGCTGATGTCTATTAATGCTGTTATAATTCTATCTGATTTGAGTTTGTGTTGATGACTGACAATTCCAGCTGGGTGGTAAACGAGTTGGGATAGTTTGGATGTGAAGTGGCTTAAAAGGTTTGAGGCGTTTGGGTGATGCATTTCATACAACTCAAGGAAGAAAAACACCAGGAGTTGAATACCCTTTCTAATCAGATGTCAGTGAACTCGCAGCTTGATGCCCTCATAATTTGTTGTGCATTAACTCATCAAACACATCACACGATTAATAAGAAAGGAGTGATTATAAATGTAGGACGTGGAGGCATTACTGATGAGAAGGAAATGGCAGAGTGTTTGGCTTAGGGAGAGATTGGAGGAGCTGGTTTGGATGTGTTTGAGAATAACATTTCTACTGAAGTTGAAAGGATAAAACGTAATGCAGTAAGAGCATTTTATATGTTTTGTTGTCCGTCTTTGCTTTAGTTTAGTTTGAGTCCGCACAACTTATCTCAGTTTCTGATATCTTCAATGGCAGCCGCTGAGGAGCAATCCCAAAATCAAAATGTGCCACAAGTACTACTTTTGAAACCTCCACCAGCCTTTGCACTTTTCGGAGATGAATTCTTTTCCTCCAACAAGTTCCGGCTCTTGAAAGCGTACGAGTCATCACTCCCACTTGACCAGTTCCTCGAAACGAATGCAGAGTCGATTGAGGCTATTCTCTCCTCGGGTGGCGCACCAGTAACAGCCGACATCCTGCAGCAGCTGCCGTTGGTGCGACTGGTTGTCACCACTCACGCTGGCCTAGACCACATAGACTTGGCCGAGTGTCGCAGACGAAACATTGCTGTAACAAACGCCGGAAACATTTTCTCAGAGGATGTTGCTGATCATGTTATAGGGCTGTTGATTGATCTGTTGAGGAAAGTTTCTGCGGCGGATCGCTACGTCAGACGAGGGCTTTGGGTTGCCAACGGGGATTATCCGATCGGTTTTAAGGTCAATATCTTATCCATGTCTAAATCCCAACCCATAATGGGCTGGGCCAACTTTTTTCGGCTAAGTTGGGGGTTGTGGCCGGTCCTTTTTTTATTTTGTTAGGCCTAGCCCGCCTATAAAGCCTAACAAAGAATGAGCTAGCTGGCTGTATCTTAGCGGCCAGAATAGAGAAAACGGGCCAGCGTGGTCTGTCGGATATCTTTAATTTTTTTTTTTTTTGAAATAATGGTAGTTTTTCCTCTTTTTTTTGGGCTTAATTTTCCAATTTCAGCTGCAGAGCAAGCGGGTTGGGATTGTTGGATTAGGAAAGATTGGCTTCGAAGTTGCTAAAAGACTTGAGAGTTTTGACTGCTGTATCTCGTACAACTCAAGGAAGAAAAAAGCATCAGTCTCATTCCCTTTCTATTCAAATGTTTGTGAACTGGCAACAAATAGTGATGTCCTCATCATTTGCTGTGCATTAAGCGAACAAACCCACCATGTGATCAATAAAGAAGTCTTAACAGCACTAGGAAACGAAGGATTCATTGTTAATATTGCACGCGGCAGTATAATCAATGAGCAAGAGCTGGTGCAATGTTTAGTTCAAGGAGAGATCAGTGGTGCTGGTTTGGATGTGTTTGAGAATGAACCTGATATCCCTGGAGAGCTTTTCGCGTTAGATAACGTTGTTCTATCACCACATAGTGCCATCTTTACTCTGGAAACTTTCAGAGATTTGCGCGAGCTAGTGGTGGGAAACTTGGAAGCCTTCTTTTCAAACAGGCAACTGCTTTCTGAAGTTGTTTATGACTGAATGCATATCTTTTTGTCGCTTTGTTTCTGTAACAATTATTAAAAGCATAATAATTCACTCCTCGTTTCCCAGCTTAGTTTCTGCATCATTCTAACATTCTTCCTCTCTTTGAAGTGATTTCCTGGGAGAATAATAATAATAAAAAATTAAACTGACAAAGTCATTATTTTTTTTTTTGGAACCTGAATAATATCATTAGGTTCTATTACTATAGCGATTCATGGGAAAGTATCAGCTTGTGAGACTGACACATCAACACAATAGTAATAATCCTCTCAACAAAGTTACTGGTAAATGGTAATACACAAGCGAAATGAACATACTGCATTTTGATATAAATTGGTAGAAGGGTGAGTCAAATATAAAGCAATTTCACATAGCAAAAATGAAAATTACCTTTGTCCGACGTAATTGTTGTCTTGATCAAGGTGTTTCTAGTTGCAGAAACGATATTAATCACAGCTGAAATGTGGATATGTGCCATAAAAAACCACCCGAAGCGCTCCTAAGAACTACATGTGTTTTCAAGAGCCAAATTTGAAATATAATATTCAGCTTATACGAGGAATCCGAATTTCCAGACAGTTGGGAGGTAAACTAAACTTTTGTCAGTAGTGAAAACAAAAGGCTACAAGTACATGGCTCAATGTTTACTCGATCAGAGGTTAGGGGAAGCAAAGCATATGATTATACATCGAATTGATCCATCTCTGCTCACAAAATTCCAATGTATAGACTATAGAGTACGAGAAAATTGTACACTGACAACAAATTGCAAGGCAAGCTTCCTTTAAGAATAAGCGAGTTCTTTAGTCCTCGTAGATGTGACAACATGCTTGAACACTTGTTTCTACTCTTCTTGTATTGGGTAGAGCAATCAGTTTCTACAAAAATGCAAAGATAAAGACATCCAAATCACCTAGATAATGAAGTCGTAAATAATCGAATATTTTTCTAGTTCACAAATAATTATTCAAAGTAACAAATCTTTTGACAAAATGAAAGTAATATAATCTCAGAAAAAAATTCGAAAGGGATTTTGTCTACACTAATCTATAGCCTAACAACTACAAGGCCTAAAAGATTTAATAATGCTGTTGGAGAAGGGATTTCAGATAAATATATACTTGCCATACACATGCAAATTAAGCATACTGCATATTTTCCATAGCTCAATGCACACTCTCTATGGGGTTGGCGTAAACATGATTACACATCCAATTGATCCATCCTGCTCACAAAACTATTGTATAGTATGAGGAAAATCAATCAAAAGTTAGTTTCCTTCACTAATAGCTAATTGTAAGGCATGCTCTGCTTCCCTCAAGAATAGGCGAGTGAGTTCCTTTTGTCCTCGCCGATATACTATACTTGACCATTTGTTTCTACTCATCTTGTATTGGGTCAAGCCACAAGTCTCTTTGCTGCAGCAATGCAAAAATAAAGTCATTGGGCATCACTTAGCTCAAAATGACCATATAAACCAACTTATTTCTTGAAAGTACCCTATTGAACGGCAATGATTACCTCTTCCCCCTATACGATTAACTGATTCAGAGTTAAAACAAACTAATAGGTAAAGGTTGATACCTTGAGTTATCTTCACAATTTGCATGTAGTCCTGGGCTTTCGGTACTGCACAACTTCCCAAGCAGTTCAGAGTCACAGTCCTCTGTTCCAGAATTCTCTTCTAGATCCGTCAACCTTGCATTCATAGTTTAAGGTAAATAAAAAGGTGTGAGAGGTCTCAGACTACCGAAATTTTTATAAATGCTTTAGCCGTGTGCATTGAATTACGCCATACACTTCAACCATAGTACCTAAAAAACTATCCATACTGGTTGGTATCCAATATTTAACTCATCTTGAAGTTGCATGTGAAAAATAGAACTTTGACCATGCAACCACCCATGTCCCACCAAATAAAAAACTGTTTGTGCGTGAAATTTTTTCTTAATTCTTTTCATTTGATTTTGATTTCACAAAATAAAATGAGTTCCATTGCAAAGATAAATAAATACAAGCAATCAATGAAAAGTACTAAATTAGATAGTAAGTGCACAAGGGCAAAAAGAAGAGTCTGAATTACTTGTATATACCCCACCTAAACCTTTGGCCAAGTTGTGAGATTTGCCAAAAGCTTAAAATTTTATTCAATGCTTATGCCTACGAGTGTGAAACAGGAATAATATGAATTGGAAATGATTATAAAGATGAAGGCCATGCCTACTTCATGATATAATATGCCTCTTAATCAACAGTATGTCAAAAAAAGCATAAGAAAAATCTAGGCGTTCCCAAAGGATTACTTCATATGAAGAAGATCCACAAGCAACTGCAGAGCTCCAGAATCTCCACAAGCCTCCCATACTGCTGCTCTAACTTCTGTATCTGATGGTTGCTCCTCCCTCTCAGACCCAACAAGCTTTTGGCAAAGTGACAGATCCAGTCAGGGCAAATACAAAGAAAATAAATAGACTAAAATGTACACCCATTTGTTGGTCAAGCACCGAATTAATTAAGCATTGTCTCAGGGAAAATGTTTTGCGTATTTTTTCAGAATGAAACATCCACTGAAGAAAAAGAAAACTAGTATATGTACATTTGATTGTTGCAAATCATCGTACATGGCATCTATTCACTATGTACTTTCAGGCAGTTCTCAAACATTAGCATTTGGACATTTCTCATTGAACAGTTTAGAGCATTGAGCAATAGATCAAGACCAAAAAGGCACAAATTCTAACAGAATATCCAAGTGTATCAAACAATTACATTAAGACCTAATTGCCAAAGCACACAACAGAGATGCTATCCCCACTGACATCAATAAGCATCTCATCCCCATTCTCAAAAACAGATATTAAATTGTTCTATATATTTAGATAACATCATCACTTAAGATTGTAACAGAGAAGCTACTGGAAAAAGATATTTGGAGGAGAAAAAATTATTTGTATGATATTATTGGAAAGCCAATTTTTTTTTTTTTTTTAAAAGCTCATACAACTGAAATGACTTGAGCATTTGATGAGGATAAAGCAGAAGGAACACAGTAGAAAATAAAAATAAAAGAAGTTGCCAGAGAGAAACTGTACCTCTTCAAGCAATAAAGCAACCTTAGAATGTTCATCTTCTTTCATAGCAATGGTTCTCAATGCACTTAAAAAATTTCCCGGAAACACCAGCTTATTTATATAAGAAGGCATGTTTCGCTGACCACTCCAGCTAAAATTGCAGATGTGATCAACTTTGCATTCATTATTGTCTTCATCCTTTTGGGAGCCAGGTGGAAAAAACCCATGATCCAACAAAGCTTTTGGCAATAGGCACCGCATTTCAGCTTTCTGAGAACACAATCACAACATTTCATCAGAGCAAAGAAGAAAAGAATGCAGGGAAAAGGAATATCCTTTAACATACAGGAAAAAAACAGAAATAGCTCAAATGGCATGTCTCTCCCCGACACAAAAAATGACCAGTGATTAAGAAATAAAGAAAACTTACCTGTATTTCAAGAAGCAGCGCTTTGGAGTCAGAAAAGGGCATGCTCTGAATTGCCTCGACAGGATAATGGACCTGTACATGCCACTCATCCAGTAAAATATCAACTACCACCAGAAAAGCACATATTTCTGACTGAACTAACTGAAAAGACACCATATAATATAAAAAAACTTTGTTGTTAAAAAAGAACAAAAATTCCTATGAATGCAATTACCATCAGATAGTCATCTGGGTTATTGTCAATGACGAAGCCATACAGGTACAATAATTCCTGCAATAAATAAAAGGTAAATGCTATCTTTTAGACTAGGGAGTAAAACTTGCGCCCCTAACAGAACACAGTATAGAACCACGATGTCTGAAACAGAGCATAATTGGAAAGGTTTCATTCAGCACATATACTAAGCATCTTCTCAGCCAATTTATAACAGTCAAGTCAATGCCACATCAAAGCATAAAAAAATCCAACAATTATCCTGAATCAAACACAAATTATGTGCAATTAATCGGAAAATATTTCAATCTAAGAAGTAATCATGAACAACACACAGATGCCTCTAGAAACGGAGATTTTTACAGTACATATAGTATAAAATGATTTAAAAGGAATATTCTAAAAGTAACCGAGATGCCAAGATATGGTTATAGATTGGTGTTACAAGTTAAAAGTACCTCATTTCCTTTGTTACCGTAACTGATGGAAATCTCTTTCTCATCTGGAATGGGCTTTTGTGCGGCTTCAAGTTAGAAAAACAAAATTGTTCAAATTAGTCAGATCCCAACTACTTAAAGAAAAAAAAGAAAAAGCAAAGATAACACCAAGACTTTCATTAACCAGAGTTTGTCACAACCATATTAATTTGAACATAGCTACCAGATAAAATAAACATTAGAACTTAGCAAATATATAAAATATAAACTGAGAGATGATGATACCAGAAAGAAGGTACATGGAGGGACGAACTCCAGTCATTAATCCTGTTCCATCAACTTCCCATGTTGCCAATGCCTTTAAATCTGAATAGCCATGTCAGGAATGAAACCATTACATCAAGTTACACTCTCAAACACAAAGAATCCAGCAAGCAGGCCATGAATGTATCAGTACACATTTACAACTGGTTTTGATCAGATACACCAAGAATTTAGTCATCATCTAAACACAGAAAAAAGAGAATTCACTTTTAATTGGGTAACTCAATTAATTTTTTAATTCAGGCACAACTAGTGTAGTTTAAATGAATTTTGTTTTGGACCTGCAAAAGTAACATTCATCCGATTGCCAAGTTTCAATGTTAATCCGCAAATCTTTCACAATATTGCTTTAAGAAAATAAACCAGAAACTAAATTTGGAGTCAGGAACACTTCAATGCAAATTCAAGGCTGTTATCTGAAAAAGGAATACATGGAGATTACATGATAAGCAAGCAGCACAGTAAAAGTGCCTTTCACGGAACATTTATTTGAGGTTTGCTTCAGAAAATTTTAAAATAAAATAAAAAAGAAAGAAAATTCTCTTGAATAAGGTCAAAAATTATTAAAAAAAAAAAAAAATTTGAAACAAATCAATGCTGAGCCATAGAATCTCCAATTTGGAAAACAGTTATACCATGGTTACAAAAGTCAATTCCAGGGACAAGACCCTCTACCCAAATAGTCTCTCTTTGATTTGATGTCGGACTGGAAGCCGCTCCATTGACTTGATCATTAACCCCACGCACCTCACATTCTATCAGAAGAAAGCCCAACCTTAGTTCAATAAAAAACTGTGACATCATGTATCCAACAACACAACAGCAATTTCATTTTAAAAGAAAGAAGTATGCCAAAAGAAAAATGACTAAGAACCATGGCCTCACTTTTTTCATTTTGTCCATTAAGCAACTCTCTAGATGAAATATGATTAGTGGAAGCCTCAGAACTTTCATTAACTGAACTGCAATTATCCCGACTCTCTTGAATTGGTGGAAATACATAGGAATGTGGAAAAGGAATGTTCAATGCACGGCTCCAAAATATAGAATTTGCCCTAGCGTGATGGCAGATAGGACATCAAAATTTGATGCACCATAAATAGACTTATATCAAGGAGATGCACAGAAAATAGTAATATTAAAGTAGCTTTACTAAGGATATACTTACCAAAGGAAATCTTCAAAAGAGACCTCACTGGCAAAAGAAGCAATCACATTGGTTAAGTAATGAGTGAAACTTTGAATTCATACATCTGTACATAAATAATCACAATATTATCACTGAACCTGTAAAAGAGACCATTTGACTGGATGAAGGTCCCAGAGATCACATGATCAACACAAAAAGAGTTGAAAAAAACACTTGTCTACACCAATCTACAACTATGACAACTACACGGTCTAAATTTTTTGAAGCGCTTTCCTTATGAAAAAAGAGCTCATAGATGAAACCAATTACAAATTACAGCATAACACATAATCAATCTTAGATTTTGTGAAATGAATATGCTTGAATTAATAGTAAAATTCACAGTATGTCAGGAAATTCATGAAGACCTACTGATTGGACCGCATCTACTAACACTAAATAGTAGACCTAAATACCAGTAAACATGGCAAACGATTCCCAGTAACAAAATTCTTCTACTTAATTGATCAAAACTGCACTATAACCAAACTTATAATAACATACAACATATTGATACTAGTGAATCAAACACTTATTACGCAACAAACTCGAAGTTTTTACCTCATATAAAAATAAAAGCAGACCAAGCGTGTGTGCGCATCCTTTGCACTAAAGAACATGTAAAAGTACATTCATACTCCTTAATTGTTAAAATAAAATAACACAATTACCTTTCCGAATCCCCATCCAGAATCAGTAGTTTCTTCACCAGATCCTTCACTTTGTCATCATACAAAGACAGCAACTTTTGTTTCTGTAACACAATTGTGTTTGGAAATTCTATTAATCTAAATGTGATACAATAGTGTTATCGAAGACAATCATCAATATTTGAATTTATCATGGAATTGATTTTCTACCATGATCACAAATCATTGTCGGGCAAATCCATTGTCTTGAAGGGAAAAACAAAAGTTTACCACAGCATTTCTTATATTCTTAAGTAGTCACAATTTGACTGATATTACACCATCAAATGCCACATATAAGAAATTTAACCATCCAACTTATTGAAGATTAACCTGCAATTGTGTAGCACGATACAATGTTGTCCCCTTCAGCTCCAAAAGCTCATCATCAGTAAACCATAATGAATTCCCAAATGTGGTAGGAAGCATATCAAGGTACCTGATACGATTTTTCAGCCTTAATAAAACTCATTCACAGAAAAACAAATAAGATATTAACTGAAGACTGAAAACAGTTTAACTAATACATACGGCTTCCATGAAGAATTCTTACGGAGACGCTCTAATGTTAGGAACAAAATCATCAAGAACCTATCATCTACTTCTCCCTCTTCAAACATTGCTCTACACTCCGGTCCAAGAAGAGGATCTTGCAGAACTCTCATTGGAGTAATAGCCAAATCCAACGGAACAACGAGTAGAACCCCTGTAATTAGGACCAATAAATGATTCCTTCCATTTCTTTTCAGAAAAAGTAAAATAGGGAAAACTGAAACCAATTCAAGAGATGCTAAGTTTTACGTTTCTTTTTCCCTCAATGTATTCTCAGTAAGAAAAACAAAACATGTGTGAAATGTGGATAGACTAAACTAGCAAATATTACCATCAGAAACTTCACTAGATGAAAATATTCCGAAGCCTTTATTTTCGTCAGAGTACTTGATTTTACATCCACGTAATTCCACTTTATTGACCTAATTCAAATCCCCAAAAAAAATTAATTAGCTTCCAAACATGACAACGGTATGAAGCCCTTACTTATATTATCGAGAAGCAAACAAAATTCCTGAGAAATGGACCTGTAACCACTGGAGAAACAGTTCCAGTTTTACTACTTTTGAAGTCGCCATAGCAGAGCAGCAACAAAGCCACAGCTGAGGTTTTACTTTTGGCCAAATATATAGGCATCACTGCTCTTAGCATCCACGCCACCCGAGCGTAGGACTAACGAAAATAATAACAAATAAAATTCTGCCACGTCACTTATCATTATACAAATACTGTACTTAAGACTTCTTTTTCTTCCACGTCATGCATAGTTTTACAACTGAAAAGTAGACGATCTCTAAAAAGATCAGCTGCAAGTCACGTGATTTTTTTCAAAACTTAATTACTCCAAGTGGCCGTCCATCATGTCTCAGGAGTATTCTTTCGTAACTAACACATTCAAACTGAATGAATCGTTTCCAATATTCCATTAATTAACAAATCAAACGGTCAAATCTTTCAACAGCCAGACGTCTTCGCTTTAGTTCCCATGTACTCACTAATTTGCAGGAACCAAACATGGAAGCTCATAACAAGGAATCCGAAGACCTCCCACAAGTACTGCTCCTCAAACCACCGCCAGACTTCATACTGTTTGGAGAGGAAGCCTTTCCCTCAAAAAAATTTCAGTTCTTGAAAGCATGGAAGTCAACGCTCCCTCTCGACCAATTCTTGAAAACACATGCGCAATCAGTTGAAGCCATTCTAACCTCGGGCAGTTCCCCCATCACAGCCGAGATTTTACGACTAATGCCAGCGGTTCGATTTGTGATCACCACTAGCACCGGCGTGAATCACATAGACATAGCCGAGTGCCGATGCCGCGGGATCTCTATTGCCAATGCTGGAACCGTTTTCTCTGAAGATGTGGCGGATTTGGCCGTTGGTTTGTTGATTGATGTGTTGAGGAATGTCTCTGCGGCAGATCAGTATGTTAGACAAGGGCTCTGGACTACTAAAGGGGACTATCCTCTCGGTTCTAAGGTAGTCACTCGTCAGATTCACCTCTGTTTGTTCAGTTAATTTAGAATTCGTTAGTGATTTGAAACATTTGGAATGATGCATGTATACTTCTGACATTTATTTGATTTTTCTATTTATAATTTCTTTCCAAAAGTAATATATCCAATTTGGAGCTTTTCATCAGTTTACATTGACTAGATCCTCTAGGAATTATGCCCTTGGCAGTTGGCATCAGTCGACCGGTAGCTCTAGATGGAAAATTCACAATAAATATATTTTCACTTTTTATTGACACTTCTATTAGTAATAACTTGGATACCCACAGAGGGTGAGATGCCTATTCACAATGATTATGACATGGTTAAAATTCATCAAACTATAACCAGTTACAAGACATTAGCTTTCTTGATTAGTTCTTTGTGGTGTTGATGACTGCTAATTTTTCAGCTAGGTGGTAAGCGAGTTGGGATTGTTGGATTGGGGAGCATTGGCTCATTAGTTGCTGAAAGACTAATCGCTTTTGGATGCCATATATCATACAACTCAAGAAGCCAAAAACCATCTGTTCCATACCCTTTCTATTCGAATGTCCGTGAACTTGCTGCTAATAGTGATGTTCTCATCATTTGCTGTGGATTAACTGAAGAAACACACCACATGATCAACAAGGAAGTTCTGTCAGCACTGGGAAACGAAGGAGTCATTGTTAATATTGGACGTGGGGCTATTATTGATGAGCAGGAATTGGTTCGGTGTTTAGTACAAGGAGAGATTAAAGGTGCAGGTTTGGATGTTTTTGAGAATGAGCCTAATGTTCCTAAAGAGCTCTCTGCATTGCAAAATGTTGTTCTGTCTCCTCATTGTGCTGTCGCTACAACAGATACTTTCAAGGATAGGCAAAAACTCGTGGTGGGAAACTTGGAAGCTTTCTTTTCAAATAAACCACTACTCACTCCAGTTGCCGATGACTAGATGGATTTTGTTCATCTTCTTGAAAACCATCATAGTGTGAGTTTTAATTTCTGTAACATTATTTGTTTGTGATCCTTCTAGAGGATCATATCAGAAACAATTATCTTGCCGAGCTGATTTTTCTCTCTATTTTTCTCCATTTTTAAACTATTGGGATTGTTACCACGATGATTTTTCCCTATCAATAATAATTTACTTATACCTAAAATGTACAACCAAACAAAAATTTTATAAAATATAAAATGATTATTATTATTATTATTTTTTCTAATTGTATAATTCAATTGTAATTATAACATTACTCTATTCCTATAAACACTAGTTGAACGACACAACATCTTGGCAGTTTCGTTAATACTGTAAAATCCTATTTTACCCTATGAATTCACTGTACACAGTAATTAGTGTACGGAGTTTTATGTAAATGGAAAATGTGGCAGTTAGATAGGGAGTATAATGGTACAGAGGATAAAATAGGTATTTTTATCTTTTAGTAGTCAAAATGGGTCAATCTTAAACGGATATTAACAGAAGATGGATTGTTGATAGTTCTCAAACATATGGGTGGAATGTTGATCGATTTCTAAACTAAAAGGGATAGCAAAGTGTTATTTCGCCGAACCTGGGGTAGGAATATGTGATTCGGCCAAAGCAAAAGGTCAAAAAGCCCAAATCTTTCAACAACCAGATATCTTCGCGTTTAGTTCCCAGCTGATCGCGAACCTGCGGGGACCAAACATGGAAGCTCATGACCGGGAACCCCAAGAGCTGCCGCAAGTACTCCTCCTCAAACCACCGCCTGACTTCAAACTGTTTGGAGAGGAAGCCTTTCCCTCAGAAAAAGTTCAGTTCTTGAAAGCATGGAAGTCAACACTCCCTCTCGATGAATTCTTGAAAACACATGCACAGTCAGTTGAAGCCATTCTATCATCGGGCGGCGCTCCCGTAACAGCTGAAATTTTACGGCTAATGCCAGCGGTTCGATTAGTGATGACCACTAGCGCTGGCTTGAATCACATAGACATAGCGGAGTGCCGACGCCGTGGCATATCTATAGCCAATGCTGGAACTGTTTTCTCTGAAGATGTGGCGGATTTGGCCGTTGGTTTGCTGATTGATGTGTTGAGGAATGTCTCTGCGGCAGATCGGTATGTTAGACAAGGGCTTTGGACTACTTAAGGAGACTATCCTCTCGGCTCTAAGGTTGTCACTTGTCAGATTCACCTCTGTATGTTCAGTTAATTTAGAATTCGTTAGTGATTTCACATTTAGAATGATGCCTATATACTTCTAACATTTATTTGATACTTTTTATAATTTCTTTCCAATAGTAATATATATTTTGAAGCTTTTCTTCAGTTTACCTAGACTAGATCCTCTCTAGATGGAAATAATGCATTTCTGGTTAGGAATAAGGTTAACAGGATGCAACAAGGAAATTAACAATTAACAATTAACAATGCCACTTTATATTGACACTTTTTGTAATAACTTTGCATACTGCTGGTTGCCACAATTTGTCTACAAAACTACATTATTTTTTTTTTCTTCTATTTTTCATTTAACTAAAATGAGAAACAAGGGCATGATTAGTATTGTAGATACTCAGAGAGGTTGAGATGCAGATGCCTATTATTTCTGTTCTGACCTTGGAGGGGTAATCATTTCATAATGCTTCTGACATGGTTAAAACTCGTCAAACTATAATCTAGTTACAAGACATTAGTTTTCTTAATTAGTTTTCTGTGGTATTGATGACTGCTAATTTTTCAGCTTGGCGGTAAGCAAGTTGGGATTGTTGGCTTGGGGAGCATTGGCTTATTAGTTGCTGAAAGACTAGTCGCTTTTGGATGCCACATATCATACAACTCAAGAAGCCAAAAACCATCTGTTCCATACCCTTTCTATTCAAATGTCCGTGAACTTGCTGCTAATAGTGATGTTCTCATCATTTGCTGTGGATTAACTGAAGAAACACGCCACATGATCAATAAGGATGTCCTATCAGCATTGGGGAAGGAAGGAGTCATTGTTAATATTGGACGTGGGCCTATTATTGATGAGCAGGAATTGGTTCAGTGTCTAGTGCAAGGAGAGATTAAAGGTGCAGGTTTGGATGTTTTTGAGAATGAGCCTGATGTTCCTAAAGAGCTCTTTGCAATGAACAATGTTGTTCTGTCGCCTCATTCTGCAGTTTTTACATGGGAAACTTTCAAGGATAGGCAAAAACTTGTGGTGGCAAACTTGGAAGCTTTCTTCTCAAATAAACCACTACTCACTCCAGTTGTGGATGAGTAGATGGATTTTAGGTTCGATTTTATTTTGTTCATTATATATCTTGAAAACCATCTTGTATACAACAGTCGATGTCCTTTTGGAAGTGATTTATGGTAAAAGTGTGAGTTTTAATCTCTTTAACGTTATTTATTTGTGATCCTTCATGTATAGTATCATATTTAGAGACAATTATTTCTTGCCATTAATCTTGCATGGTTGTTAGAGTTTTAAGCTAATCTTTCATCAAATTCTCTCTATTTTTCTCCCTTTTCTCTGATTGGGATTGTTTCCCTGGGGATTATTCATATAGAATTTTGTTTAATACTATCAAATCCTACTTTATGCTATGCAATTCAGCCTGCACACTACTTATTATACGAGTTTTATGTAATTGGAAAATTTGGAAGTGAGACTGGGAGTACAGATATTGCTTTAAGTGCTAAATGGGCTTTTAAGTGAGACGTTCTATATTGTTCTGTTAGCAAGAAAGAAGAATCTTAAAAACAAAGACGTGGGAATATTTGGGACACAAATTCATAACTTTTGATTCAATGTAATCCAATGGATTTGGATGAGAAGTTAGTTAAATTTTAATGTCAACTAAGTAAACAATGGTCATAAATTTGTGTCACAGATCTTAGTACAATAGCCTCATCCTGTTGTTTTGTTAACTTTCCCACTTAATTCATTGGGAATGCTTCTTTCTATTTTTTTTACTCCACCATTATATAAAATTTTCCTTTAAACACTCACGTGACTGATCTACAAATATTCTCTATTCTACTGTTCAGTTTCAGTATCTAAGCCCTGAAAACCATCAATGGAAAATCATAATCATGAAGCAAATATAAACCAAGATTACCTATGCAATGGCCTCCTACAAGTTCTAGTTCTTGAACCACCACCAGTATTCAAATTTCATGGTGAGCAACTATCAAAAATATTCCACTTCTTGAAAGCATGGGAGTCACCACTCCCTCTGCATCAATACTTGACCATCAATTCACAATCAGTCAAAGCTGTCCTTTCCGCTGGAACCACTCCTATCACGCCTGACATTATCCGGCTAATACCATCTTTGGGAATCATCGTCACCACAAGCGCTGGCCTAAACCACATCGACCTGCAAGAGTGTAGACGCCGCCAAATATCCATTGCCATTGCTGGAACCTTGTATTCTGAAGATGCTGCAGATCTGGCTGTTGGACTGCTCATCGATGTATTCAGAAAGATTTCAACTGCTGATCGATATGTAAGACGCGGGCTTTGGGCTAGTCAACGGGATTATCAGTTTCCTCTTGGTTCTAAGGTTCTCTTTTGCATCTCTATTTACTCGTCTGTTGAGGGAAATAGTTTCTGTGATAATTTTATTCAGAAACTTTTAAGATTTTTGTTGGAATTTGTACTACTTACTCAAACGCTTGTAATTGAGTTTGTAATCCATAACTTGAACTTGATACTTCAATTTGATCCAAAAACAAGTAAAAAGTCCAACATTAACATCTATAGCTAACTTTGTGTACCATGTTGTAATGTTAAAGATGTAAATATGGAATATCAGAACTTTCAGACCCTAGATAAATCATTAAAAATTAATTTCCTAACACTTTATGATGTTCATAATTGGTATTTCAGTTGGGAGGCAAGCAAGTTGGCATTGTTGGATTGGGAAGCATTGGCTTAAATGTGGCAAAAAGACTGGAGGCTTTCGGCTGCAATATATTGTACAACTCGAGGAAAAAAAAGCCATCTGTTCCATATCCATATTATCCAGATGTTTGTGATCTTGCGACTCATTGTGATGTTCTCATCATTTGTTGCGGATTAACTGATGAAACCCACCATATGATTAACAAGAAAGTCTTATTGGAATTGGGGAAGGAAGGAGTCATTATTAACGTTGGACGTGGGGCTGTCATTGATGAGAAGGAGATGGTAGAGTGTTTGGTGCAAGAAGAGATAGCAGGTGCTGGTTTGGATGTGTTTGAGAGCGAGCCTAATGTTCCTAAAGAGCTATTTTCATTAGAAAATGTTGTGTTGTCACCACATAGAGCTGTCCATTCAGAGGAAACATTAATGGCTTTGTGTGACCTTGTGGTGGGGAATTTTGAAGCTTTCTTCTCAAATAAACCCTTACTTACCCCATTGGTGGAAGATTGAATGTTGGATTTCTGTCTGGAAGATACTTCCTTTTGTCTTGCTCTCACAAAGTACTGTAATTGGCAAAATGACAGCGTTATATTAATTATTCCTTGCTGAACTGATTTCCATGACCGACATCCATGACATAGTTTTAGTAGTTATAAACCAAATTTGCATTATTCCTCTCAAAATTCCCAACCCTTTCTTTTTTCCATTTGATTGTTTCCACTGGAATAATTCACATAGAAAGTTATCCAATAACAGAGCATTGGTAATTTTGTTTCATCCCATCTCATGATCCAGCACACTAATTTTGGAGTGACGTGAATAACACGTTTTTACTCTCTGGCATGCGTTTATTGAATATTCGGGAGGATGGTCGGTTATGAGTGCCTATAAATACAACCCTAGCCATCGACTTGCTTGACTCATCTCCAGAGATTCTCTATTCATCTTCTTTGGTTTCAGCATCCAGGCCCTGTAAACCATCAATGGAGAATCATAATCACGAAGCAAAAGCAAACCAAAATTACTTGTGCAATAGCCTCCCAGAAGTTTTAGTTCTTGAACCACCACCAGTATTCAAATTTCATGGTGACCAACTGTCAAAAAGATTCCACTTCTTGAAAGCATGGGAGTCACCACTCCCTCTGCACCAATACTTGACCATCCATTCACAATCAGTCCAAGCCCTACTTTCCTCTGGAAGAAATCCTATCACGTCTGAAATTATCCAGCTACTACCATCTTTGGGAATCATCGTCACCCCAAGCGCTGGCCTAAACCACATCGACCTGCAAGAGTGTAGACGCCGCCAAATATCCATTGTCACTGCTGGAACCTTGTATTCTGAAGATGTTGCAGATCTGGCTGTTGGGCTGCTCATTGATGTATTCAAAAAGATTTCAACTGCTGATCGATATGTAAGACACGGGCTTTGGGCTAGTCAACCGGATTATCAGTTTCCTCTTGGTTCTAAGTTTCTCTTTTACATCTCTATTTACTCGTTTGTTGAGGGAAACTATTTCTGTGATAAATTTTACTGAACAAAACTTTAGAATTTTTACTGCAGTTTGTAGTGGGTATTAGTTTCAGACAGTTGAAGAAATTGGCCATTTAGTAAATTAAATAATCTTGCATTTTTATTCTAAAATCATTTATCAACACTTTTTGAAGTTCATAATTGGAATTTCAGTTGGGAGGCAAGCAAGTTGGCATTGTTGGATTGGGAAGCATTGGCTTAAATGTGGCAAAAAGGCTGGAGGCTTTCGGCTGCAATATTTTGTACAACTCTAGGCAAAAGAGGCCATCTATTCCATATCCATATTATTCAGATGTTTGTGATCTTGCGGCTCTTTGTGATGTTCTCATCATTTGTTGCGGATTAACTGATGAAACCCGCCATATGATTAACAAGGAAGTCTTACTGGCAATGGGGAAGGAAGGAGTCATTATTAACGTTGGACGTGGGCCTATCATTGATGAGAAGGAAATGGTAGGGTGTTTGGTGCAGGGGGAGATAGCAGGTGCTGGTTTGGATGTGTTCGAGAATGAGCCTTGTGTTCCTAAAGAGCTCGTTCAATTAGACAATGTTGTATTGTCACCACATAAAGCTGTCCATTCAGAGGAAACATTAATGGCTTTGTGTGACCTTGTGGTGGGGAATTTTGAAGCTTTCTTCTCAAAGAAACCCTTACTTACGCCATTGGTGGATTATTGAATGTTGGGTTTCTGTCTGGAAGTTATTTTTTCCTCCATTCTTATTTGAAAGCTTTGTTTTCCTTTTGTATGTGGAAGTGAGAGTATTAAATTGCTCTCACATAAAACAAGCAGTGGTCATAAGTACTGTAACGGCAATTTGAAAGCATCATGTTAAGAAAATTATTTCTTGCTGAACTGATTTCCATGAATGAGCCAATCTAGCGTCATTCCTCTCAAAATTTCCCCCTGCTTTTTCCATTTTGATTGTTTCCCCTGGGACTATTCATATAGAAAATTTCCAATCACAGAGTATTGGTAATTTTGTTTCATCCCATCACTGTGATCCAACTCAATATATATTTTTGGAGTGCAGTAATACTATACTTACCGACCCAAATACCAATTTTTACATACCGACCCAACTATCCAACAACCCAAATCTCAAAATTTGACCCAATTCACATGAGTCAGTATGTCAGATCGGTAACTGGGTCGGTAAGTCTAGCATTACTGTATGAGAAGAGTTTACGGTGGGGCAGGGGTTATACATGTGTTGGGGAACATAAATAATATATTAGATTTTTTTTTTTAAATAGTGGTTCAAATATTTTGAAGCGAATTCAATATAATAAAGATCATTCTCATAGCCTAGTTAACCCTTTTTTCATGTAGAAATATATATATTTATACTTTTGAGATAAATACAATGAATGCTTTTATAAATTATTTTGATTCGTAGAGACTATTTTTTAATTATTATCATAAAATAAAATATAATTGATATAAAATATATGTTGGAGGCAGTTTGAGTTTTTGATAATTAATATCACCTTATTTTAAATTCTTATTAAACTTTGATCGGTGGTGATGCTGATGTTAGAATGTATTTTGAGCACAACAGTTTTCGTATTGTTATTATTATTATTTTTAAAATTTTTACTTTTTATTTATTTATTTATTTTTTCTTGGCATTAACTAGGGTATTGAAATAATTAAGTGGTGTGCGGGCCGAAAAAGGTGTCTCTGGTTTTTGGATGTTTCAATCGCGAACAGATTTGTAGTGTGGGTTAATGAAGGGTATCTCGGTCTTCTTACTTCCAAATATGGACGAATTTTTTTTGTTTTTTCTATCCAAAATTCTTTGTAGAAAAATGTTAGGACAAAAAATCCTCTTAGACTTGACGATGCCCAATAATGAAATAAAAATGTCACAGTTCAAGATCTCAATCTAATTTCGATTAGGCTTATGCTTAAAATCACTTTGTGAACTACTCACTCTATGAGTTATACTATCTTATAAGTTAAACTAAACTTGATTTTAGCCAATTAGCTTGTGACAGTCTATAAATAGGAAATTAGAATCTCATTCTATTTCCTCTTCTACTAAGATTATAAATCTTATTCAAACTATTAAACTTGATCAGATAAGGTCAAGAAATCATATCTCTTTTATGATAGGGATTATCTCCCAAAATATGACTTATTGTTCTACTAAGATTCAAAATCTTATTTAAACTATTCAACTTAATCTGATAAGGTCAAGAAATCATATCTCTTTCAGGATCGGGATTATCTCTCAAAATAGAACTTAGTGTCCTACTAAGATTCCAAATCTTATTTAAATTATTAAACTTAATCTGATAACGTCAATAAATCGTATCTCTTTCATAATAGAGGTTTTATCCCAAAATAGGATTTAATATCCTACTAAGATTCCAACCCCTTGGGTTCACTATAAAAACAGAAGCTTGCCCTCTCATTAGACATGCAATCTCTCATAGTCAATTTACATTACTCAAAACCATCTATTTGCTCATAAATTCTTGCTCCCAAGAACCCGACGCCTATGCTGTAGTCCTAACCTCTGACAAGACTCCTGGTAATTCTTCATCTCCTTAATTCTTATCAAATAATCTCTTTCAATCTCGCTAACTTGAGCGTCGAAGTGCCTACATCAAACACCACTCCAGTATTTTTCGAAAGCTTTACGCTTGCCCTTTCATGTATACAGATCTAGTAAATTATCAGTGGCCTCAATCTTACAAGATCAGACCCTATTTTCATGACAGTAGATTTTTTACATCTACAAGAAACATGACATCATAAGTCTTAACCATCGGTGCGTAATCAAGTGACAGGAGAGAACTTCTTAGACGTATTATTTTAAACAGTAATACTATACTTACCGACCCAAATACCAATTTTTATATACCGACCCAACTATCCAACAACCCAAATCTCAAAATTTGACTCAATTCACATGAGTCAATATATAACATCGGTAACTGGGTCGGTAAGTCTAGCATTACTGCTTCTCATATATAATTTATAAGAGCAGTTGAACACTTTACACGTATCGGTGTAAAAACCAATAACTAACAAAAACCAATCAAATGTCCTCCATTCTCCGTGTGCTTCGCAATCACGCATTGCGTGGGATAAAGGTAGTTTGGTGGAATAACGAAGATAATCATCAATAATGGGAATTGGCGAAGATCTCCTACCCAAAGATCTGCCAGAAGTCCTGGTGATTAAACCTCCACCGCCCATGATCCTTTTCGGGGACGAATTCATTGCAAAGAAATTCAAAATCCTGAAAGCATGGGAGTCACCACTCCCTCTAGACCAATTCTTGACTAATTATGCACATTCAGTTAAAGCCGTACTCTGCTCTGGGGCCTCTCCCATCAGTCCCCAAGTACTCAACTTTCTTCCATCACTGCGACTTGTTGTGACAGCGAGTGCCGGCATAAACCACATTGATTTGCCTGAGTGTCGCCGTCGTGGAATTTCTGTTGCTAACTCCGGCAACGTGCTTTCTGAAGATGGCGCTGATGCGGCTGTGAGCTTGTTAATTGACGTGTTCAGAAGGATTTCGGCTGCTGATGGTTATGTCAAACAAGGACTTTGGGCTTCCAGAGGAGATTATCCTCTTGCTTCTAAGGTCATTATCTCTCTCTTTATATATTTATATATTTGTTTAATTCTCTTGGTCTTCTATTCTTTCCGGATTAACATATATTTATGTTCCCCGGAATTTACTTTTACAAGAAAAACACTAAGAAATTTTGAGTTATATGGTCATAGATATTAGTCAACAGGAGACATCAGTGATTTTAATATAATATTGGGAGAAAGAAATTCTATGGTTCTTTTCTATAAATACTCATTGACTTGTTGGTATCTAAGCGATTCATCCAGAACTCGATTGTTGACTGAACATTATCTAAAATAATGAAATCAATAAGTTTAAGTACAAGAATCACATGAGTGTCTAAGATGTCAGAGAATGTATATTAGTTATAAGTGAAGTGATATTCTTATAAATTAGTAAAAATCTGAGTGTCCATCCAATGTAGTGTGATTATTTGAATTTTCAGTTGGGAGGCAAGCGAGTTGGGATTGTGGGACTGGGGAACATTGGCTTACAAGTTGCCAAAAGGCTGGAGGCCTTTGGCTGTAATATATTGTACAACTCAAGGAAGAAAAAGCCAGTATCATACCCCTTCTTTTCCGATGTTTGTGAACTTGCAGCTAATAGCGATGCCCTCATCCTTTGTTGTGGATTCACTGACCAAACTCGCCACATGATCAACAGAGAAGTTTTATTGGCACTAGGCAAGGAAGGTGTAATTGTTAATGTTGGACGTGGGGCTATTATTGATGAAAAGGAAATGGTGCAATGTTTGGTGCAGGGAGAGATTGCAGGTGCTGGTTTGGATGTGTTTGAGAACGAGCCAAATATCCCTAAAGAGTTCTTTACAATGGATAATGTTGTGCTGTCGCCACACGCGGCTGTATTTACCTCAGAATCATTCCTAGATTTGTGTGAACTTGTGGTGGGGAACTTGGAAGCATTCTTCTCAAATAAACCATTACTTTCTCCAGTCACAGATGAGTGAATTGTGTTTCTATTTACATGTTTCTCTACTATATTTCATAGCTCTTTTCCTCCACTTATTGGATAACCTTTGCCCTTATAGTAGAAGTTATGCGGGGTCTAAGGCTATCCTGGGTTTAGGTGATAAGGATAAGCCACATGGGCAAATCAAATCAAAAGGATCTACTCTATTTCATAGCTCTTTTCTGGGAAGTGTCGCTTATAAGTGCCCTAGCTCGCATGATGCAGTGGAGCTGCGATTGCAATGTCAACTAATCCGACAGAATGCTCAGGTTTGTAACTATTATGGTTAACTCTGGTGCTTAAACAATTCTCTGAATAACCAAATAGGAGAAGAAAAGGAAGATGATAGATGTTTAATTGTTTGTATTGAGAAGCATTATGTGTTTGTAGAATTGCCTAAAAACCACTGTTAAATGCGGTTATACGCTCAAGTATTTGGCTCAAGATTCTGACATACATAATGTATCCAAATGCCTACCATGCGAGCAAATTTACTTACAGCTATGATAAATTGTTAAATAAGAGGAACTGAGACAACAGTAGTCTAATGGGCCTTAATTTATATGGTGGGCATTAAGTTATTTGTGAAGAAGCTCTGGCATGGGGCAATGGTGGGCATTAAAATATGACCAAATTATATTTTAGTAGCAACAGTATCTAGCACAGCTCGATTAGATCCTGCTTCTACTATGCCAAATGCCAAGTCGGCCCAACACATTAGAGAAATTGGACTGACTATATTTGATTAAAATGGAATCATTATCTCTGAACAAACAAATCCAATTAACTAATGACTAGAGCTACACAGTTTTGTCATTTCTTTGTTTTATAAAGTTATGAAGATTGCTTTATATATATATATAGGTAGACTAAGGTTGTTATATATTGTTGGAGGTGTATAAATAAAACAATTTTGGATAGCGATTAGAGTGAGTAAAGGGACGTTTAGATTTATTTTATTTTAAGCCCATTGTAGAAACCGCTGCTGATGTTAATTTTTGTTGCTTCTTTTGTTCTTTACTTGCATGTAACACGATGCCCATGTATGCTCATTTTTTTTTTTTTTTTTGTAACCGGGGTGTCTGGATCAATTTATACGCACTCCAACTAATCCCTAAGGTCTATTAAATATCTTACACACTCAATGAACCGGATAAGACACAATTATGCATTTAGATAGATGACCCTAAAGTTTGAACCCAATAAGTCAAGGAAGAGAGTATACCTCCTTGACCATCAGACCAACCCTTTGTGGTTCATGTATGCTCATTTTTCACACGCTGCACTTGTGTATTTACTTTACTCGGAAATGAGATTGGAAAGGAGCCACCATGGCATTCTTATCTTTCCCAAAACTTTTGGAATTACTATTTAAAGCTATTTTATTAATTGTATTTCTTTGTTCGTTGGTGAGGCATCATGGATGATGGATGCATCATAGCATGAGAGGCTCTATATATAAAATGAGTGAAATCCAGATGGAATGGACGATACCTATCTTTAAGTTGTGAAAAATTTAAAAAAAAAAAAAAAAAAAAAAAAAAAAAAGCCATCATTTTCGAAACGAATACGGCAATAATTGCCACATTGGATGAAAATGATACAAGCTTTCTTCTTATAACTCTTATCGAAAATGGGTGGTTCATGCAACAGCAACTACAATAAGATTTTATAATATTATTGTTCGTTGTTGTTACTACTGTTATTATTGCTGCTGTTGTCACTAATGCTGTATTTTAGCTTCAGACCTTTTTCATCCCCAAAATTATTCTCAAAGTTATTAATTAATTAATAGTACGTAAAGTGATTTTTTTTTTTTGGTGGAGGGCAATTAGGTTCAAAAATGGAAAAAAAAAAAAAAAAAAAGGAAAGGATACCAAAATGGGTGAAATTAAGTTGATGTCTAACCAAGAGGGTAGATGTCCAAGAGAAGTGGTATGCCAGTTGCCTAGTTTGCTTCTTTTCACATGGTAAAGCTTAAATAGTTAGTCGTCTTGGCTCTATCGATGATGGACCAAATATTTCACTGTGGCTTAGCTACTCCACCACTAATAATAAGTGCTCACATTTATTTCACTGTGGCTTAGCTACTCCACCACTAATAATAAGTGCTCACATTTTATGTATTATATGTTTCCTTTTTTGTTGTTGTCATCTCATTTCCACTAAAAAAATCTCTTCAATTTCATGGGGCCGACTTTCTGCAATACCATCATCCATTTATGACGTAAATAATATACTTAATCACTAGGCCTTGTTATGAAAAGACGTATATATTTTTACTGATGAGGTAAGGTAAATTAAATTTAGGTTAAAATTGATGAATAATACAGCCTTAATTTTAACAAAATATTGGAGTACAGATGCTGAATTTAATGCTTTGATAAGTTGTTAATGGAAAAAAAATTAATTAACTGATAGTGCATTGCATCTGCATGCAAAACTGGGGAAAGGAGTCAACATCATTAGAAAAGGTAATTAATGAAATGAGTGAAATAATTGATAAAATTTAACGAAACAAAATGTACTGAAGCAATTTGATGTCCAGGAAATGCTAAAATTTGACATGAACTCCCAACTTTCTTATCAAAGCATTTTCATGTGATACAGATCTTGGCCTGGGCGGAGATTGCCTCTAATATATTTATTGTTGGCCTTTGTTTGATATATTTTGGTGAAGGTTTTAATGAATGGTACCAGTATCTCAATTAGTCTGTAATTAACAACAGATTTTGATTTTGTTTCCATCATCCTCTACCTCTTGGAAGAGGTCAGTGGGACTCGGAGAACCGATCTCTGAATTCGTTCAAGGACTGGCCAATAGTATAGGGTTCTACTGTGATGGAGACACGCTAGAACACGAGAGAGTAATTATATAAAAGATTAAGCTTCGTTGGTGGCTACTGCTAGATCATATTCACATGTATGCTTAGAAATTAATATTAAATTGACATTTATATATACAAGAGTAAGGGCACAGGTCCAGGTCCATGTTTGATTTTGATGATGAGTGTTAACAAATGAAAGCAGAATCTAGTTGGTGGAGATCAATTGGCATCCGAGAAAGAGAACCTTCATCTTCATAGGTCCACTTATTTTAAAACACACTCACTCAAACATTATTATTGTAATTGTAGAACCCCAAGTATTAATACACAATTTCTGTTCTTAATTTCCATTAAGATTTCTTTTCTTCTTTCTATATATTGTATTAATATTTAAAACACGCAACAGTGATACAATAAGATTCTCAATAAATTTGTTCACCGACCTCCCCAATGAACGGCCTTGGCTTTTTTCTTTACTCTTTTCTTTCCACTTCTTATTAAACCCTCTCCTCTTCTACTTAGCTATCAACCCTCTCTCTCTCTCTCTCTCTCTCTCTCTCAATTCTCAAACCAAAACTCTCCTTCTAAGTTCTACTGGTTCAATTAAGTGAGAAAAGACAGTGCACATTTATATATTTATGTCAATAGATTGTCGAGTTTCTTCAAGTAGGCCAATGCCACCTCCTAATAATCCTTCTTTGCAGACAACAAAGGATGAACATCAGCCTTTTGTTTTTGATGCATCAGTTCTTCAATTTCAATCCACCATACCTTCAGAGTTTGTATGGCCTGACCATGAGAAACCAAGCCTTGAACCTTCAGAATTGGTGATTCCTCCTATTGACTTGGGGGATTTCCTCTCTGGAGAACCTCTTGCCATCTCAAAAACATCATGTCTTGTCAATGAGGCATGCAAGAAACATGGATTCTTTCCGGTCGTAAATCATGGTGTTGATTTAAGCCTCATAAAAAAGGCTCATCAGTACATGGACTTTTTCTTTGGCATGCAAATCTCTCAGAAGCAAAAGGTTCAAAGACGGATTGGAGAACACTGTGGATATGCTAGTAGCTTCACTGGTAGGTTCTCTTCTAAACTTCCATGGAAAGAAACACTTTCTTTTCGATACTGCGCTGACAAACAGTCCTCAAACATCGTGGAAGAATATTTCTCCAACACAATGGGCGAAGATTTCAGGCAATTCGGGTAAGAACATGAACAAAGTCATTTTATTTCCATAGCTAGCTAGCTAGGAGAAAAAGTATATATATATATATATATGTGTCATCAGATAAGCATAAAAACCTTACTGCAAAGTAAACGTCTATGCACCTCGCATCAACACTCTAAATGATTAGACAGCTGATAGTTGGCGGCGAATATAGGCATATCGCTCGATACGTTAGAATTCATCTACAATGTATAAATTCAAACAAGTGTGTGCTTTTGTATAGTGTAATTTGGATTAAAGCGCTACAATGTTAATTAAGTTTCTAAAGTAATTAAATATTGCTAGCAAAACAACTGTCTTAGCTAATTAATTATAGATATCTTTAATTTACATGAATATGTTTGATGTGCGCAGAAAGGTGTACCAAGAATATTGTGAGGCCGTGAGTAATCTCTCCCTTGGGATTATGGAGTTGTTGGGAACTAGTCTAGGCGTTGGGCGAGCATACTTTAAGGAATTCTTTCAAGGAAATGATTCGATAATGAGACTGAATTACTATCCCCCTTGCCAAAAACCTAATTTGACTCTAGGAACTGGACCTCACTGTGATCCCACCTCGTTAACAATCCTTCATCAGGACCAAGTGGGTGGACTTCAAGTGTTTGTGGATGGAAAATGGCAGTCCATTACTCCTAACCCAGAAGCTTTCGTTGTTAACATTGGCGACACGTTCATGGTAAGTTGAAGTAACTTATGACTCATGAATATTTAATAATTAATTAGAATAAAGTGTGATTAAGCCGTTGTTGTTTTGATGTTTCTGCAGGCTCTATCAAATGGCATTTACAAGAGTTGCTTGCATAGAGCGGTGGTAAATAATAAAACTGTGAGGAAATCTCTTGCTTTCTTTCTATGTCCAAAGATGGACAAGGTGGTGACACCCCCAAGCAGTTTGGTTGATGCTAATAATCCAAGGATGTATCCGGACTTCGTATGGCCCAATTTACTGGAATTTACGCAGAAATATTATCGAGCCGACATGAAAACTCTTGATGCTTTCTCGCACTGGCTTCATGATCAGCAGCAAGTATTAAGAGGATAAACACAAAAATTTAAGGGTTATATTACCGTTAATGAGTTAACGTGTTTATTAATTATCTGTTTGAGGACCACATATGAATATGAAGGGAGAGATATATAATGTGAAAAGGTAGAGGACTAAGAGGCTTGGTGTTGGTGGTTATATTATCAATGGTGAAAATACTAAAAGAAAAGGCAACAGAAACACCAAAAAGAGAGGTCAGTTTCTGTAATTATCTGTTAGTGGGTTAGTGTTGGAGAATCATATATGAAAGAACCATATTTAGGAATAATTAAAGAGCTGAATGCATGGGCTCCATAGCGGTTCATATTTTAATGCTGTTTTAATACAAAAATGGGTACTCGGCGTACTTTTGTTTCTGTCCACCAGCAAAATTTCTAGGCTCCTCTCCTCTCCCTTTACGTACAATATATTCTGCATGTAAAGTCTTTTCTTTTACGAATATATATATCTATAAATTTTATGCCCAATCATCACCAACAAAGACAAGATGCTCTCAATGATATTGTTTATCTAATTATGTTACTCTTTAGTCTTAGATTCATTCAGTGTGCATGAATTTGTTATTTAATAACAAGTTAATGTTGCTATATTAGATCAAAAATAGGCATTAGTCCATTAATTAATTACTCAAAAAAAATATAAAATAAAAATGAAACAAGAATATACTATACGGATTCTCTCCCATAGATATATTGCATATGAAATGGGAAGCTAATTAATTATTATTTATTCTCATTGTAAAGAGTAGTCCCAGACAAGCGATGGGCTTCTTTCCTTCAGTCGCAAATTAAGAGACACAATAAGATCCAGTGAAGAAGTTAGAAGTAGAAGAGCTGTCTCCCACAGTTATCTCTCAACTTTTTTTCAATTTCTATTACATTATTTAAACAAGTGAATGAAGTCAGCTAAAACAACATGGTTGTGATGGAGGATGTATTTGGTATGGAATCTCTCAGTTAAATGTTTAATAAAAATTTGAGCAATGCAATGGATTGGATCGTACAAAAATGGAAGATTTTTTTAAAGGAAATGAAACGTGTTGTCAAGAGGAGGGATAACATGGAACCTCTGTCAAGCTTAGGTTAAATATGCAATAAAGATTAGTTTGATTAGATAATTAAATAAGAGAGAGTGAATTAAGTAGCAGTAAGCTCTAGAAATGATGATGATTTTTTTGACGATATTTTATGCATTCAGGGAACAATGAGCTTTTCCCATTATTCCAAGTTCCCTTTAAGAATCCATTTAGTCAGTGGGGTTCTTGCAGTTCCCCAACATAACTTTGTAAAGAAGATGGACCAAATCATTGAATCACAATCACCTTACCAATAGTTGTTTGGACTTTGGATCTCGCTGCTTTATATTTAGCTAGCACAGGCTATTTATCATATGGTGCCTGGACAGCCACGTCATCCCTCCCCATTGTCCAATCAAACCAACTTTACACAGGAATATATGTTAACCCATGTGAGCATAGTTTATACACGTAACCACGATAAATGTATACCACATTTACTTTCCATCGTTCAAGAGAATATTATTTTTAACTACAGGCGTAAAGTATAATTAAGCAAAATGTAAATATCACACTGCTTCACTGGGACTTAAAATTATTGCGTGGTAACTTAAAGCAAATAATAAATATATAGAAAATTAAAGAATATGTATAATAAAACACCAAGATCTTTTTAATAGCATTGACCAGTCCACAGGAGACCACTAAAGGCAACCATTACCAACAAGTGGTGGTTTGTCAAAATGCCCTGGCCCTGCTAATCAAAGTTGTTGCACATGCTTTCTATCCTTACTCTATGCGCATACATCTTTTACATACACAAGAAGATTCTGAAGACAAACAACACTTTATATTTACTCTCTTTTTTTCACCCGATAAAATCGTAAGACCCGTACCAATTGGCATTGACAACGCTTTCACTGTCTATAAAATAATTATAATGGGGAGCAGAGAACTGATTCTCGAATTTGTTGGAAAAAAACATTCATCCATCCATCTGCATTTGTGTTTTGAGTTTGGATTCAATTGAAGAGTAAGACTATGATCCTGATATTGATTCTCGAATTTGAAAATTTTCAGAATGGGCAGGTTCATGTACCAATCACATCCAGAGCAAAGGCGGGACCGGCAATCCTAAAATGGCAATTCATNCTTCAACACATTCTTAATTCTTAATTTATTTAAAAACAAATTGATGTTCAAAAATTAGAAAAAATTGATTAATAAAGATGGTAAAGAATTGAGATAATGAGAGTTGAGTCATGAAAATTCGTGATAGAAGCACAACCTCTCACACAGGAGGATAAAATTAATCATGTAAGGCAAAGACCTTGACTTGATGAGTGTCAAATACATATACCTCATTTTCTTATCCGAAGGACAAGGCAAAATTAGTGTCCACATTAAGTGCTATCATACTGGCAAGTTGAAGTGGTCCATACAAGCACATATAATTTTCAGAAATGAAGGCAAGACAAATGTTTTCAAGTCAAGTCAAATGCCAAAGGGACAAACAACATTAGCGAAATTTTCTCAACAAACAAATTTACTCAGCTTCTGAAAATCGATGAAGGCTTTTGAAGCCTTAAAGTACACTGTATGAGTTGCATGTATATATATATATATATATATATATATATATAGAGTTATAACATGCATTAAGAAATAAGAAAAACAATGGAGTGCTCAATCTTGAAGAGAGAATTTTCACTTGTTTCCCTACTCTTGTTGTTTGTTTTGCCAAATTCTTCACTTGATGTTGCTTCTAATTCCACTGAAGAAGGACTTGCTCTTCTCAAATGGAAAGCCAGCCTTCAAAACCATAACCATTCTCTTCTAACATCGTGGACTCTTTCTTCGGTGAATTCTACTACAATAAGTCCATGTACTTGGCTAGGAATCTCCTGCAACCATGTTGGAAGTATCAAGAGTATTAATCTGACTAGTACAAGTTTAATAGGTACACTTCTGAATTGTCGTTCTCATTCTTTCCCAATCTTCAATACCTTGATCTAAGCATGAATGAACTCTTTGGTACTATTCTTCCTCAAATTGGCCGCCTAACACATCTAGAAATACTTTGTCTTTATTCAAATCAATTCTCAAGCTTTATTCCTATGGAGATAAGTAACCTAAAGTCTCTTTCAGATCTAGAGTTAAGCATAAATCAATTGACTGGTTTTATTCCACCTTCCATTGGTAATTTGAGTAACTTAAAAATATTGTACCTCCACCACAATAAACTTTCTGGTTCTATTCCTATGGAGGTAGGTAACTTGAAGTCTCTTTCAAATCTAGAGTTTGGCACAAATTAATTGGTTGGTTCTATTCCTCCTTCCATTGGTAATTTGAGCAACTTAAAATTATTGTACTTCAACGAGAACAACCTTTCTGGCTCTATTCCTATGGAAATAGGTAACTTGAAGTCTATTTCGAATCTAGCATTCAACATAAATAAATTGAAAGGTTCTATTCCTCTTTCCATTGGTAATTTGAGCAACTTAAAAGTATTGTACCTCGACGAGAACAACATTTCTGGCTCTATTCCTATGGAGATAGGTAACTTGAAGTCTATTTCGAATCTAGCATTCAACATAAATCAATTGACAGGCTCTATTCTTCTTTCCATTGGTAATTTGAGCAACATAAAATTATTATACCTCCATAGCAATAACCTTTCTGGCTCTATCCCTATGGAGATAGGTAACTTGAAGTCTCTTTCCAATTTAGCGTTGAACACAAATCAATTGACAGGTTTTATTCCTCCTTCCATTGGTAATTTGAAAAACTTAAATTTTTTGTACCTCAAAGAGAACAAACCTTTCTGGCTTTATTCCTATGGAGACAGGTAACTTGAAGTCTCTTCTCAGTCTATCGTTAAGTATAAATCAATTAACTGGTTCTATTCCTTCTTCCATTGGTAATTTAAGCAATTTAAAGTATCTATACCTTAGCCATAATAACCTTTGTGGTTCCCTTCCTTCTCCCATGGTTAGTTTGACCAATTTAGTAGAGTTGCACCTCAACAGTAACTACTTTTCTGGTTTTATTCCTACAAAATAAGTAAACGGAAGTCTATCTCGTATCTAGGAATGATCAGAAATCGAAATGGGTTCTACATATTCACGGTTTCATTGTTGTTTTAAGCAATTTAAAAGTTTTGTATCCTTGTAATAATAACTTCTGTCATTATATATATTCCTTCTTCTAGTTGTAATTTGAGCAAAAATTAAATAATTGCATCTTAGTGACAACAATCTTTTTGGTTCAGTTCTCATGAAAATAGAAATTTCTAGAATGGATTGAAATAGAGTTGTCTTAAAACCACTTGCGGCCTATTAGTTAGATTTTAATTGGAGTTATTTTCTTGGCCGGGAATGAATTATATGAAGAAAGAGAAGGACAAACAACTCCTAACTATATACAATATTTAACATGAATTTTTAAATCTTTAGTTTGAAGATAATATTTAGACATTAATATGACAATACAAAGTTTATATCCCAATTAATGTAACTCCTATATATATATATATATATATAGTTCTATCATTTATTATACCAACTCTTTATTAATGTAATTCGACGATAAAGCTATGCTATACATCAATTATATATTTTATTATAATAACTATATTTATTTCCCGACTTTGTAAATGCTTTTTCATAAATTAATACCTCCATTAAGGACTAGCACATGTACTATATAACAGCATAATGTAAGTTTTTTTTTTTTTCCCCTCAATTTAATTAATTCAGATATTAAAAATATTTGAAAACAGAGAATTGCATGAAGGAGGGACATAAAAAGGTTTTGTAAAATGTAAATCTAATAGTCCCAATAAAATAATTTTATAAATTAAAATAATATTCAACCTTACCTAACCATAATCTCTTCCAATTCCATTTAATAATGTAAAACATATGAACTCTTTATTCAGATTATGTGGCATGCAGACCCTTTTACAATTTATATAAGTTAATTTTTTTTATTCACACACAAATTTTACTAGAATATAATTTTTATATTTACAAATTACAAAAATAAAAAGTTGGTGGGAGTAGAACTGTAGATTACTTATTTTTAATTTAAAATTTTAAAATTGATGAAAAATATTATGTAAAATTAAAATAATGATAAAAAATCAACTCTGCCACCTCCGCTTTCCAAGTCTCTGTAGTGTGATTCTATTATGCACACCATCTGCTCTATGTAAATTCTCCATTTAAAAAAGAATTAACATCTCCCATTTTATTTCTTAAATTATTTTTTCTTAGCGTAAATTTGAGAGTAGGATAGTGGTATTGATCACAAGGTTAGATTTATTATGATGGCTTTGAGGAAGAAATCATTTTATGGATAAACGTTTTGGGAGAGTTGGTTGGGCTTCGTTTTTACAGTTGTAAATTCGACTTGATCAAGAAGCTGAGACCCGTGATTCTTAA